ACAGAGCTGGCTTTCCAAAGATACTCTGAAAACCCGATCTCTGAACCCTATCTCAGCACAGGAAAAAGGTTTTTTCAAAAACAAACCGTACTTTTGTAGCCCACGATGAGCTGGTTCGAATGGTATACAGAAATATCTCTACTAGAAAGCGAAATATCTCTACTAGAAGACGCGTAGTCCCAACGGAATCTGTAAAGAAACGTTTTCTGAGTCTTTTGAGACGTCTCCGAAGTCTGAGAGACTTTTAGCTTAGGCGGGAGACGTTGTAGGAACTTGTTCAGCCGAAAACAGAAAAACGAGTCTAAACCCACCAACCCATGATTAGATCCGTACTGTTGTAGAACGTCTCCCGCCTAAGCTAAACGTCTCTCAGACTTCGAAGGGCGTCGCATAAGATTCAGAAAACATTTCTCAACAAGATTCCGTTGGAGAAGGAACTACACCTCTTCTGATCGCTTTCTAGTAGAAATATTTTTGAATGAGTCACCATTATTTACGGGTATCCGCGCAGGACTCTAGTTTCGAGAAGTCATCTGCAAAAATGATCTGTTAAAAACGTGGGCTTAACTTTTTAAAAAGTACAGGGTGCCACTAAATAAACGGAACACTTTTGTTCTTTATTTTTAAGGCGCTTCTGAATGATCTAAAAATCTGCGACACAGAACCGCGACACAATGAAAACAGAAAAGTATTTGCCTTGATCCCAGAACAGATTCCATAAGAATTTTTGAAAACATCAGAAGATTCACCGGAAAATTCTGCATCTTCTCACACATTCTTTGAAATTCTGCAGTTAAGTCTTCTACGAAAATTTCTCTTTGCAAAAAGGTGATAAATCTAAAAGGATCTAACTTTTGAATCTATTTTTCACAGTTTTTTATTTTTTGCTTATAAAAGTAGTAAAACGTTATGAATCCAGGGTTGTAGCCTTGTTATCTTACACAGAATTAATTTCTGCATCTTTTGATATACAAACAAAGTTTCTCAATTGAAACCATTAATTACAAAATTAATTTAATTTGAAAAAGTTTGAAAAGTCGGTTGAGAACTAGTTAGGAGTCCAGGTGACGTAGCAAAAACATTGTATGAAGTTATAAATGAGTGAGATCGATAGAGCACAAAATTCTCTATCTTTCTACCTAGAAAAAGTAACTATTGAACCTCAGATACTGGGTTAAAAATCTCAAAAAAGCATATGACAAAAGCACATCGCAGTTCGAGAATTTAGCACTATTCAATATTTTGAGTGGTGCTCAAACGAGAAAAATACTATCAGAGATTCAAAAAGCAGGTTCTGTAGAGAATGCAATTCTCTATCGAATGAGACCAGAACCAGATTTTTAGATCATTCGGAAGTCCCTTAAAAATAAAGAACAAAAGTGTTCCGTTTATTTAGTGGCACCCTGTACACATGGCAGAAGTATATAACTAAATCCCTAAACATATTTTTAGAATGTGATAGTTGCCGAACTAATAGGTTGTAAAATATACGATCAAGCAATAGAACGGGTATCTCGAAGTGATTTGAGACAATGGTATACTAAGCAGAAAGAGTAAGCAATAAACTATCCGTCTGTTCATATTTCTTCTACCAACAATATTTCTAGAACATTCGATCATCGTGCAACGAGTATTATTGATAAATGTTATGATGTAGATGAAACTTTTGCTCTTCAAATATTGGAAACAAAAGCCACTGCATTTTTTAATTATAGTCCAATAGAATTGGCTACAGGTAATAATTGTCGTTGTCGCGAATTCATATCATCCAAAACGTTTGAAAGATATACTGATAAAATATGGTATGGAGCAATGGCTGAGCGACGACATAGAAGAAGAACTCTGAATCTTTTGGTAAGTGATTTGGACGAAATGCAGACGAACATAGTCTAATTATTTTTTAGGATATGCGTGTTTCTCATGAGAAAAACTGAATTCTCGAAAACATTTTCAGGTCCGTGTTTCATCCGGTGAAAAATTAACGTTTTCATCTGATTGAAAACATAAGGTGGCGAATGTCCTTTTCCAGAAAAAATCAAAATCCAATTTTTTCTGAAAAGTTTTGCGATATGAGAAACTTTCCAAACTATTCACATTCGCCCATTATCATATGTTTTACAGGTTCTCAGATTTCTGGGTTTTCTATCCGTTCCTCAAAGTGTTGAAGGAAGGAGGAAGAAGGAACAGGAGCATGAGAGTGAACCACAAGAGAAAAAAGCAACAACAAAATAAATGTAATATAGATTCAGAATGACTATGAGAAGCTTAAAAACGTAACAACCTTTCGGAAGAGAAAATAATGTCCGTTTTCGTTTTCCGGGAAAGAAAAATTCTCCATGACATCCTTGAAAATCAAGATTTCTCAAAAAAATGACGAAAGTCAGATGTAATTGTGAAATGATCTCCACAAACGATCCAGAATAGTCGATAACATTTAGGCGCAGTAAGATTTCTCTGAGAGCTGCAAATGAGAGAACTTTCAAAATTGTTCGCACTATGTTGGAGCTCTGTTCTGAGCGAGGGTTTAATGCAAAGTTTAATCTTTTCTCCACCTAATAGTAAACTTATATTCTACAGTTCTGCTCATTTTTTTCTTAGAAAAAAATTACTTTTCACTTAGAGATTATATTCTTTCGATGATATCATGACGATAAGTGTCTGTTCTTTCTAATGAAAATGACTGTTTTCGCAGACTCATTCTAACATCGCTCTCAATAAAAAGCCCTTCAGGCTCAGTATCGTTAAAGCCGACTGCCAAACGCTGATAGAGGCCCCATTTTGGTCACTATATCGTCCTTAATCCCAAAACCTTCGAGACTTTGGGGGTGAAATATTTACAGTATTCCGAATTTATTGTGTTGAAAGTTTTTGCAGAGAGGAAATTCCTTAAACGCATTGGACTGTGAGTCATCTAAACTGAAGAGATTAGCGGAAAAATGATGAAAATCAGTAATTCTGAGGTGATTTAATATCAAGTGTGATAAGTGTCACACTAATACAGCTAAATTGGCAGAAATCGGTGATATCTGGAGACAGTTAGTAATTTCCAATAAAGACCGGAACAACAAGGTGGTGTAAAGGCATGCGCTGGAATAGTGCAAATACGGGATGGACAGGTTTGATAAACAAAATATTTAAACATAGGATACCATTCTCCTTTTCATATTTTTCAGCAAAAGCATCGAGACGAACGAGACAAATCGACATATTTTTGCTGCCTTACGTTCATCTATAATCTCTTAGCAGTCGACAGATACTCTGTTTTTTAGTCATACTTATGGTTTTCTTAGAGTCAAGGGTCTGTAAATTTGCGAACATTACTATTTTACGTGTGAGAAACAGACGAATATACTATTACTTGCTACATCACATTCTATTTTATTTTAGTTTTTATTATTGACAATAAATCCATTTCTTATCTTTAATTCATACATTGATGATATATTAACACCTGAAAAACAGAAGTAAATAGTCTCATCTCAATATATGTATTCATCCACGCTGTGGTTGGTGATTATTTTCTATTATAGAAAACAGCGCGAAAGACACCCACAAAGATGGAATAGGTCTTTGTCAAGAATTTTTCATTTTTACAGAGGACGTGCTATCGTACGATTTTATTGGAACATTGTAGGTCTATAAACTTTCATTATTTTAATAATTACCGTGGATACTAACTATTTATTTCATTCTAGATTTTCTACATAATATTCTTGGGACTCTTTAGCTATGTTGTACTAGTTGATTATTTTCCATTAAATAATAATCATGGTAAACGAGATGGTTTTTCGAATATTAAAATTCCAGTTACAGAAATAATCCTTCATATTTTCATATGGTCTTTAATTATTGAAGAAGTAACAGAGGTATTGTTGTCGAGAAACAATAGTTTCTTTTTTTTTTACAAACTTTTGAACAATAGTTGTTGATAGAGTGTACTGACGAGAGAACGGCGTCAAGTGTACATCCCCATTTTCAAGTATGCCAGTGAAAAGCCGTAAAGGATTTTGGTCCATATCGTTTCTTTCAAAACTTATGCATATTTTTAATTTTTATATACAATGTTTCATTATAACAGTATAATTTATCTATCTCAGTAAAAACAAAGAGTTAAGAATTGAAAATTTTCTCTGTAATGATGCGAACGGTCTACTCTTATCACAAAAGTTCTCAAGTCTCTTAGTCGTTTATCTATGGAGTAATTAAAATTTTCCTTCAGTAAGTAAAACCCCATTTTTTCTAATTTATCTTTTCTCATTGCCTTTTTTCGTTCTTTAACAGAGTTGTCTTACATATGATTGTTTTAAAGTTTGAGCAATATCTTCGTCACGAGCTGTAAATGTTATTGTATTGGAGTTGATGATATATGTATTGAAAAACTTCTCAAAAAATTCGAGCAGTTTTATTTGCATTAATCATTGAGATGTTATCTTTTGTGAAAAGACTGAATCAAATGCGCAAAAAAAAAATTTCTTATAAACATCTTTATCTTTCTTTCTTTACTTTTTTTCTCTTCGTGTCAAGCACGGAAAATCACATGTGTGGTTTCTTTGACTAGAATTCGCATTCTTTTCTCAAAATTTAGAAGAATCATATGTGGGACAATTCTGCTAACGAGTGAAGAAAGACAATGACAAAAAGACAAATTAGAAAAACATCGTTTTCCTTATTGAACGGAAAATTTTAATTATTTCATAGATAAACGGCTAAGAGACTTGAGAACTTTTGTGATACCAATTATAGAGAAAATTTTTAATTCTTAATTCTTTGTTTTTGCTGAGACAGATAAATTTTACTGTTACAATGACACCTTGTATATAAAAATAATATAAAAAAAAGTCATAACTTTTGAAAGAAGCGATAAGGACCAAAATCCTTTTCGGCTTTTCACTAGCACACTGTCCTCTATCGATGGCCATAATATCATTTAGAACGACAGTGTACACTTAGCATCGTTTCTCATAAGTAAACAGACACAAAGATACATGAAAAATTTTTTGAAAATTAAACCTATGTACAATAAATATTTTCAAAAATGTTATGGTTAGATATAAGTACCCGTGTGTGGGAAATTGGATACTTGTATGTGGAAAAACCATCGAGATTTTATTTTTAGCACGCATTTATGTTCTATACAACGTGTTTTTATATAGTTAGAAACAAAGTTTTAATTCAAGTGGCATATTTAAGAAATGCTTTGCGATCACGAGTTCACACTCTATCTACTGTAGCATCATGTTGGTTTTCCCTAGAGAATTATTGACAAAGTTTGAACAGCTACGAAAGCTGGTGAAACTTGGCGTGCTTCTTGCATTGATGACACCGCTAAGGAAAATTAGTTAGTTTGGCAAAATAATTTTGGTTCTCCCACACTGTAAGTCCGGATCGCGAAATTTTTTCGATGATTTGTACTAGAATAAGTCAGATTATGTAATCTATGTTATGTCTGTATTCAAATCTGGAAGTTTCAATAAAAGGTTAGGTTCTCATACTAGATTTTGGTAGTGCGGTTGGCCATTCCACGTAACCCAATCCAAAACGTAATCTCCAACACTTCTCTCCCTATTTTCTTGCCTTTATATCTTTCGAACACAAGAATGCCAGAAGGTTGCCATTATCTGACTTAGTGAGGAAAATTGTGTTTGATAAGATGAGATTTGCTAGTGCTCTCTAACACGTCTGATTATGGATATATATCAGCAAAACGGGCATACACATTGGTCAAAAACAATTGTTTTTGTTGAATATTTTCACAACATCTCTATAATCAAGAGCCGTAGAGAGCACTGGCATGTATTATCTTATTAAACAGACTTTTCCTCACTAAGTGAGATAATGGCAATCTTCTGCCATTCTTGTGTTCGAAAGCTATAAAGACAAGAAAATAGAGAGAAAATTGTCGGCAAAATACGTTTTCGATTGAGTTACTTGTAATGGTCTAGTAGGATTTTCCCATGATCCGAAATTGCGGAATAAAAATTCTTACGGCAATAGAAAATCCATATATCCGTGTATGTTTACTTTCTCTGGAAACTCTGGAAAACACATGAGTATTTTCAATCGAATAACAGAAAATTTTTAAAGCTGTTCTAAGCGAATCATGGAAGGACAGATTACTGCTCTGTTTGTCCGAGCAATTAATATATATGTTACACTATATCCTGAAAGATTTATTCAATTTGATCATCTATTTATAGTTCATGGTGATTTCTTGCTGAACATTCAGAGAATATTGTGATTTTATGCCATTTTCTTTCTAAGAATAAAAGGCAGTTTTCATTGTCACATCCGCAACAACAGGTTCGGGATTCTTCCCCTTTCTCTGTCTATCTCTGCGATGAAATCTAAATTTTAATGTTCAGGACTGTACTCTTCTTTGCACTTGTGAAATCATTTTATTTAAAAGGTGTACAAGCATGTTAAAGAAGCTTTAGAATCGCGTGTTGGACACTCAATTTGGTATATTATACGAACATATTATTCGCACAATAAATGGAACATACTAGACTTCTTTGCAATTATATTATACATTATCGGTTTCATTACAAGATGGTTTGTTGTTAGACAAGTGTTCGTTGTATCAAAGTAAAAATTACTCTGAAGTCTGATAGAAACGCCAAATAGGTCTTTCTTAAACTGTATGTTCGTTTTCTTACAGAATATTTATGTGTATCGATTTGTTCGCGTGGTACCTTCGTCTATTACACGTATTCCTAGTCTACAACAATCTTGGTCTGAGATTAATAATGATATTTTCCACTGTGAGTATAAGAGAGAAGACCAGGCACGCATCCTTTTTAAATTCGAACTCTTATCAGATCAGAAAAACTGCATTTTTCTAAGAGTGACAGTCGCTATCGCACGAAGTTTTCACTGTCTTCAAAATGCAGCAGAACGAAAAAAATGCTTTTTGGTCAAATTAAAACTACAAATGACGAGGAAACCTATCTAAGTGATGCTTTCCGATTTCGTTCGTTCATACGTCGATCGATAGAGGGTATCGAGGTAGCAAGAAGCCTAAAAGGATTTTCCCTCATGACTCTTGAAGACCCGATGTAAAACCAGTTTTACAGAAACTCTAGATTCTATAAGTTTGCAAAGAAAGGTCATGTAGAGCTGAGAGATGTCTACTCTTGATCAGAAATTTTGCGGACTACAATCATTCCTCATTAAGAATGGTTTTGGTTACTTTTTAGAGTTTCTGAAAAACTGGTTTTCTAGAAAATTTGATCTTCAAGAATCATGGGGGGGGGATCCTTTAGGCTTTTTACTAGCTCGATATCCTCTATCGATCGACGTATGAACGAACGAAATCGGAAGGTATCACTTGGATAGGTTTCCGCGTGAGCAGCATGTTGAATAAATAAACATCATCAGCTACATTATTAAATGTAAAATCAGGACAAATCAGACTGAATTGAATGTTTATCAGAATAAAACTATTCGAAAAGAAGTGATGTGCTTTTACTCCAACTTACATGAGAAGGTTTTCCAGATATTTCCTAGAAAACCAACTTTCAGTCTCTCACCACTATGACTTCAACTTTTAAAATTTATTTGACTGAGCAAGCTTAAAACGATCTTTAAGAGTGCTTCGCTGTGTTATTTTGAAAAATACATTTTTCACTAATTGTGTACAAATTATATCAAAAACATGAAAAACTGTGTAGAAAATATACTTTTTCCCTTTTAAAATCATCTAAGTGTAACAGTAAACGTCAGGCAGTGTATGCAAAGACTTTTAAAACGATTCAATGTAATTCAAGTAGTCTAGATTAGAGGTCTACACGGGTTAAGAAAACGTAACCCGAACCCGACCCGACTGTCAAAATGCCGATCCGAACCCGAACCGACCCGACAACAACTTAACCAGAACCCGATCCGATAAGTTTTTACTTGTTTGTTTTGTTCTTAAGTTTATGTCTTTCTATTTACTTATTTATTTAGCGAAGGGACAGGCGAGTGACATTTTGCTAATAGTCTACTAATATTCCAGAAAATTTGAGCGTTATATCTTTCGCAATATTACCTCTAATAAAAGAGAAATGTTATCATTGAAAATTGTGCGATTTGGAAAAACATTGTTTTCCTTCAAGAAGAAAAGTTCAATAACAAGCAAATTTAGAAAGATATAACGCTCACATTTTCTCTAATATTAGCAGGCTATTAGCGGAAGTACAAAAGAAAATTTCACTTCTTAATTCTTTCTTTTGACTGGGTTACAGAATTATTACTGTTACTACACACAGTGTTCCTTTAAAACAAAAAAATTCATAAATTTTGAAAGAACTGATATCAGTCCTCATTTAAGGGTTTTTATCAGCTCACTTTCCTCTATTAACTGGCATAATATCATTAAAAACGGAGTTGTGCATCTGCAGATCTTGTCTCGTTAGTGAATGCAATTGTTCTGAAATAAGTATTTCAACTGAAACATACTATAAGATTTTATTTTACTCCAGAGCAGGATATCATAAAAAAGAACAAAAGACTTGGGACATCCGCGGATACCCTATGATAGAAAATTCCAGTAGAGTTAACTTTTCAACGAGTAATACGAAACTGAAATTATTATCTATATTTTTTATAATCTTTGTACAAGGTGGATTAACAAATTTTTCTGTTCTTTCTGTTTTATAGTTGGTAGATTTGGCCTTTTTCATTCTCTTTATTGCAATATTTCTGTTTGGTTATTCAGTATCATCATACGCATTAATAACAACTGATAGTCAAGTGATATGGTCAAGCACCTCAGATAAAGTTTATACATTGACCCGCAATGGCGCAGGATTATGGAGTTGGCAAGTATTATGGGATGTTGTTGACTGGGGCATATGGAAAATCTTTGGCCAGGTAGACCGCTATAATGTTCCACAATCGGATGGCAATTCTGTTTCAAGTAAGAATATCGATTCAGAGCTACAATTCATTATGATTCACTATGAAAAACTGGAAGGGATACTAAGACCATTTTTATCACCGACAAAAGTTTTTGACATACGGGAAGGTTTTGATGAGTCATTTTCTATTCGAATACGAATTTTATGGTGAAAATCAAAGATGCATTCCAGAATTCATAATGAAAAGCACAAAAAACTAACTAATTTTGACCAATATTTACACAATTTCATCATCTTCTCTGTGTCAAAATGAATATTATATTCGTGATTCACATAAAAACTTGAGCCAAATGAAATATAGCTTATAGTTGTACCTCTAAGTTTTTTTCGATCGAATGTCACAGAAAACGCATTTGAATAACTGAAAACGATTTTGGAAGCTTAAAATTCATTGTTTGTTTGTACTTTTGATTTTGAACATTGAGGTACATCTTTCTTTTGCATTTTCTGGCAGAACAATAAAAAAATACGTGTCTATCTGAGTACTTCACTCATTGGTTGAAGATCAAGCTTTCAAATATGTCTGTTAATTATGCAAACACTAACATTATAGAAAAAATCTCTTGAGAATTCGGTGTTCTGTGTGACAAAGAATTTTTGACACGATTGGTGATAGAGGAAGCAGAAAAATATATATCGTCTTAGATAGATGTGACAACCTATATTCTTAACTAAATTTATGCAAAATTTATGTTTTTAGTTAATAATAATGCATATGGTGTAATTGCATATATCCTAACAATTATTTTTACTTGTGTAGCAGCTGTACTCTTGATTAATATATTGGTTGCTCTATTCAAGTAAGTTCGCTTCTGGTTTTTTTATAAGTGGAATTACATTGTCAAATTTTTGATTTAATATCAATTAGTAAAAAGATTGATAAGATAGACCCTCGAAAAGCCTGGTGTTATCATCGTTACTTATTATTGAAAGAATATTCACGAATGTCACCACTACCACCACCGTTCAGTCTTATTTATTATACATTGGATTTAATTTGGAAAATTATAAAACTATTCAGAAATAGATCAATTGGTAAGTTTAAGTATAATAGTTATATATCTCTAACAATGCAGTTAGTTGAGTATCCGAAATCAGTTTCGTTCACTAGATTTTGCACTATTTCGAAAAAGTTGATGTTTGTAGTATTAATTTTACTTTCTTCGTATAGAATACATACGTTTATGTACAAAAAACAGATTTTAATTGATATTGATATGGATCTTGCAACGGCATAAGATGAAACACAATCTCCCCTCTCACTGAAGAATTTATCTTTGTCTTTGAAATCCAGTCTTGTCCAAAACTCCGTAAAATATATAGAAAATTGAACCCTAAAATTTGACTCGAAATTTCCAGGTTTTTTGGTGTATTTAAACAGTCAGATGCTGACAATTTCTGAATTTTTTATTAATGTATTTCTGGTATGCCAGCTATTTTCGACGAGTTTATTCATTGAATCCATATCTTTCTAAACATATATCTGGAGGTACCGAAGTAGAGGTGTCGAAGGAGGGAGAACGTGAGTCGCGACCGTTACCTAACCTAGATGATGACTTGAACTAGTGAGAGAAAAGATAAACATTGTAAGTCTACAGCCAGTATAAAGACATGTTGCATACTGAAACAGTAAAGAATAATTCAGTTCGCCGCGAATGCGAATTTTCCATGATTTCGAAGTTTCTACAAAAATTATTTGCAGAAGATTTACAAATTCATACAAAAAATAGTACGTATGAATGCGGGTGAAAACGTTTCAGAAAAGACGTACCAACATTTAAATAAACGCTTATATAATCTTGTTTTGAATCCTCATCTGAACATTATTGAACGAATATATATTATCTTGTAATGAAATTTATCACAATTATCAAAATATTTCACAATATATTGGAATAAATATCTTTTAAAGAATAAACAAAATGTTGGAAAATAACTGTGCTGTGTACCAAATTCTTAAACTCTATAATATTTTTTCGTGAAAGAATTTCTTGTTTTATGCTTAAATTACTCCTACGTAACTTTCACGGTGTACAATTTTCTCGTGCGCATCTTTCGAGTATATAATTTTTAGTGTATAATTCGGTATTCGCTGCAGTTTTATGTAGCGTGATGCCGTAGATAAAGTTGAAGCTTAAAACTGAAAATTAACGTCCAAAAATAACGATCTTGTTTCTAATATCATATTTGAACAGTTGTCTTTTTATTCACGAATTATGTCTACAAATGTTGTTGATTTTACATAAATTTGAGAAATTCGATTCAAATATTGTTAATAATCAGATATATTACTTCAATAATTCTTTCTTGTTTTATCAGGTACTGAATATGGTACATTAGATGATACTAGTGATTTAAATTCAAATATTTATAATCTAGTTGTCTTTGACGCTACTGATCAAATACGTCGTGATGGAATTATTCATTCGATATCAATCAATTTTCGCACTCCACCATGTAGTTCAAATCCACATATAATTCTTTACAAAATTTCGTCAGTTACTTTACCCAATAAACTGGCTCAAAACAATGAAGAGAAAGGCATGGAATTTAGAATTGAAGATCAATATGATATTATAGTTGGAATTGAGAGACGCACTGGTATACAAACATTTGATTTTGTTAATATGCCGATAGAAAAAGACAAATACCTTGGCATTTACTTTGCTCCTGGTAGTGGTTATCCTTTTAGTGTGACAAGAAATCAATATTTTACGAAATTTGATAAAGACCTTCTATACAGTACACGACTATTTACACATTGTCCAACGAAAGGTATAACAATGAGTTTCAAGCTAACAGCAGGTATGTTAACAAAAACAAACATGATTTTTAACAAAACGAGACAAGTACTGATAGATCGTATTTCTAGTTAATTATAGTATTGACGACTTGATAACAGCATTATCCAAACCGAAATCTCGACAAACTTTAGACGGTATGTAAAATTTGTTATTTTCTTTCCTTACTTACATATAGGCATACATCGGTTACAACCGATAAATTTCACCTTTTTTCTGTAATGGAATGCATGAAAGTACGCATACTAAAATTTTTTAATAATTGGATTTTGTAGAGCAAACATTTTTTATAAGATGAACTATGGCGGACGCTTTCATGTTTTCTATTTCTACCGCACTCGCTTTTCGATGAACAGTCCTCAATCGATTATAGCCAGTCATGGGACTTTTGAGAAATCTTTTTTTATAAGTACTAGTTTTGAATAAAAAGTACACACTTTCAACGGATTTCTGTTTATATTATGGACATTCCCAAGCAAAGCTGAGTAAGCAAGAATATCTAGCTGCAAAAATAGCTGCAGCGCCCACTTACAGCTAGATTAAAAGGTACATTTATCTAGCTACATGCTGATAGAAATTGTGTACTAGCTGAAACGGCCGCTGCATTGGCCAATTAATGGCGCAATGAATTGCCCGATTAATCGATAGCAACTAGTTGTACCCAGTTGAAGCTAGATTGAATCTAGCTGAGGCTATATCAAATTTTCATGAATTTCACTGCATCTAGCTGAAGCTAGATAAATGTACTTTTTAATCTAGATGGAGCGCCCGCTTCATGATTTTTTTTCGTGCTTGGGTCCTATCTGATGAGATACAGTGAGAGACGAAGAGAGTGGCGACTACCATTCTTACGACCATCAATATCTAAAATCCAGCTGAAATTTTCACCACATTGGACTTCATCGTAGACTATTATATAGTTAAAATAAAACGACAAAAATCATCAAAAACTTTATGTAAAAACCGGTTTTTCGGAAAATCTTCGCAGGATCCGCTACGAATAAAAACGCTTTTTTGCCGAATAGATACAAAATACAGAGCAACCACGTTTATTGGAAATGAAATGTCTTCTAGTTTTAAGCAATGTTTAATAAAGAATAGACGAACTCTGACATTTTCTCTCATCTTTTACAAACGTTTAAGTGCTAACTATGAACCAGAAAAGATCAGATAAGGATCGGATCCAAAACAAAAAACATAAATTTCTATTGTTTTTGGATATCTCACATAAAAATTTCGAGTTCAGACATGGCAATACTGCATAAGCTGCTTGAGTTTCACTAAAAAATTGCTGCTTTATATACAATACTTAGTTTCGTCTGCTGACTCAAAAGTCATTAAAAAACTGAAAGAAATTTTAAATTTTCGGATGACTTCAGGTTCGCTCAAATCTCCGAAAAATTATTGAGCGTTCTTTTGAGTACAGAAATTTATGAAAACTTCGAGTATCTCGAAATAGCGGGTCTTAAAAACCGCATTCGTTTATGTATCTGGTTCTAAATGCGTTTGGATAATAACAAGGGCATGAGAAATTCAAGTTCGCGGCGAATTTAACAAATACCTCAAAAACTAATACCTGCCCCATCTCCCCGTGGTTTCGCCCTTTGGTGTTTTGTTGGTCGCACGTGTCAACATGCATATAATAGTTGTAGATGTTTTTGATTGTTTGCTGGTTTTGTCCTTTGTTCGTTTTGTTTTATAGTCATGCCACTTATAATCCTTTCCACTCTATAACTTTTCTCTTCTTTTTCTCCGTATTCCTGTACGCCTGAACTGTTGCACAGATACGCACAGCCAACTTCCCTCCCCTCATCCGGCCCCCTGGCTTTTTCGTTTGTCCTTTAATTTTCTTTGTTGGTGAAACTGTTGCACAGATACGCACAGCCAACTTCCCTCCCCTCATCCGACCCCCTGGCTTAGTTTCGTTTGTCCTTTACTTTTTTTTGTTGGTGAAAGGTTTAATGCTTTAGGTTATATCGAATCTAATAGTGCTGAATATAGCATCTACATATATTCTATTAAATACTACCAAAAGGACCAAAACAGCAAAGCACCAAAAACATCTACAACTATAGTTGTAGGCAATATATTGTATGCCTGTTGACACGTGCGAGCACCAATGCACTAAAGCACTGAGACATCTTAAGGTAGTTAGGGTTACAGTGGCCATCTTCCGTGGAAATTTTTAAACATGGCGATTTTTGCAAATGAGTTATAATTTGTCATCCTGAGATAACATCCATAACGTAAACAATTATTTCTTTAATTACTTTAGTTAACCCGACTAATTTAGTTATATTTTTTGATTTTGTAGGCGATGAATTAGATGAGTATAAGAAGCGAGACAACATGTTACGTGAACAATATGTTGCCCACAATTTTCGAAAAGAAATCATACAATCTATTAAAAACCAAGAGAAAGCTGATAGAATGCAAGAAAATGACGATGCGACCAACGGATCATCAAAGTGAACCAACACAAGAGACAAATATGTAATCATAAAAACAAAAATACTTCTCAAATTGTGCATCACACGAAAAAGGAGTGATAACAGCTTTTGCTTCTAATCTTGCTGTTGAGCATTACGTTAACTCAATTTTGTCTTAGTTATAAACATTATTTTAACAAAAAATAAACAAAATATTATTCTCTGAAAATCGACTGCCTGTAGATCTAATACAAACCTTTGGTTGAACACATTCTGACAGTGCTATAATAAAGCGTGTCAGATTATCTATGTCAAACTTTTGTATTCCCAGAGTTTTAAAAATTTGACTATGCAAAAAGTCGAAATATTACGTATTGATTTCAGAATTGAATAATTGTATCTCTACGAAAACATATTCATTGGTCAGGAAAACTCCTCCACATAGGCAGAGCACCTGACGTGCTCTGCAATGTAGCACTCTTAGAATATGTTCAACTAACAGTTCATATTAGATCTTCAGACGCAGGATTTTCAGATAACCATCCAACTAATGGATGGTTCATACCGCAACCTGGATAAACAAAAAAGACAAATTTTCAATGCCTGGCATGCGATGCCCTGAAGGATATGTTATGCGGATCTGTTCTATATAAAAGCAGCAACGATGGTCCAACAAATAATTAGTAATAATGCGAATCCGAATATTAGATATTGGTAACTTGAAAAAAACCAAATGCAGAACACGCTACCTTTAGTAGGACAGAAGTTAACAGAAGATGTTGCAGAAACGTGGCAAATGGAGAAACGGATAGTAAAGTGTTTCTCTAACAGACGGTGAGAAAAATCTAGATTCTGGCTCAACGTATCGGCGATAACCACATGATGAAAAGTCCGAGAGATGCTTATCAGAGTTCAGTGGATAAGAATTTGATGATATGATGAATGCGAAACTTTCCTCTTTCTAATATTTTGAGCTGAACGGATTGCATCAAAGTTCCAGTTCGATGATGAAACAGGGCTATATTCAAGCTATTACTGATTGATCCTACTACTGGCCGGTGGTAGGATGAACATAGGCCTATTTTATCATCGAATTAAAACTTTGAAGTAATTCGTTCAACATAGAATATTAGAAAAAGGAAAAGGTAACTTTCGCATCATCATATCATCAATTTATTTATCTATTGTAATGTAAAATACTTAAGAGAAAGTCTGTGTGAATACCGACCACATTGGCCGGAGCTAAAATTTCTTTTTGGTTCTTAGTATTCTAGTTCGAAAGAGCTCATCGAAAAACTAAGCAATCCAAGATGTCTCGCCTCCGTATGGCGCTGTTCAAGAATTTTGTAGACTTAACATTTTAGTCATCATCAGAAGCTCCATGTTTTGATTAAATCAATGTTTCTTCAATATCTCAGAAACAACTAAATCCTTACGGCCCGTTCACGTTTCAAATGAAAGAGAAGTGTTTGTTCTACAAAATTACTGCTGAAAGATAGAGTGGAAGGCAAGGCAAAAACTGGAAAAAGCGATTTTTTCCAAACATGCTTTTTTTCTTTATTTTGGGTGTAGAAATCGCTAGTCCAGCTTGACCTAAGAAAAGTCTGTTCTTTTGTACAGTTGATAATTCTGCATCGACTGATATATAAAAGAAAATTTTGAATCATTCGGAGGAGGTTTTTTTGAGATTTGCAAGTTGGAGAGGTATTGTGCATTTTTGAAGACGATGTTCAATAATTCTCCTGATTTCTTAATTTTTTCCTTGATCCTTCGACATGCACCCATACCAAATTCATAATCTGCGTATGATTCTCCGTATGAAACTGACTCCAGAAATATTATTTAAAGCTTGATTCGATATCATATGGCCAAAACACAAGTTCATAATCAACAAATTTTGCAAATTAACCTAGTTTTTTCTGTTAGGGGTCGGAGCCCTGATTTACACTGCATTCGATTCGCTTTTACACTGGCCAAACATGAACCCGGAGGACTCAAGCTGTTTGCCGTTCAAAAGTTATAACCGTAAAAGCTTCATTTCAACAGGACAAGGACATACTCGTTCTAAGCAGAGGACACTTTCTAGTATACTAAAAAGTAGAATCGTCAGTACCGGAAGGCGCGTCATCCACAAGTTATTGCAATAAAGCTGCAAACTAATCTAAAATGGCTGAAGTAAACTTTTATGTAATAAAAATATCATATTCGAGATCAGGATCCAAAACTGAGACGACTAATGTGTATTTCTATCCTATCCGACTACCTTAACTGTTTTCGAATTTTCGCGTTGAAAAATTATCCAGATTTTCACAAAAAATGAAAAATCAACTAAAAATTTCCAGATAGAAGTTGTGTTGTGATAAAGAAAATTGAGAATTACGGGCACAATTGCGCATTATTCGCCTCTTATTAAAAAAAATGAATTTTCTCAGCAATGGGAAGGAACTTTGGGAAAAGCTCTCCGCACATGTTTGGCCAGTGTAAAAGCGAATCGAATGTAGTGTAAATCAGGGCTCCGACCCCTAACAGAAAAAACTAGGTTAGTTTGCAAAATTTGTTGATTATGAACTTGTGTTTTGGCCATATGATATCGAATCAAGCTTTAAATAATATTTCTAGAGTCAGTTTCATACGGAGAATCATACGCAGATTATGAATTTGATATGGGTGCAAGTCGAAGGATCAAGGAAAAAATTAAGAAATCAGGAGAATTATTGAACATCGTCTTCAAAAATGCACAATACCTCTCCAACTTGCAAATCTCAAAAAAACCTCCTCCGAATGATTCAAAATTTCTTTTATATGTCAGTCGATGCAGAATTATCAACTGTACAACAGCACAGACTTTTCTTTGGTCAAGCTGGACTAGCGATTTCTAGACCCCAAAAAAAGAAAAAAAGTATCTTTGAAAACAACCGCTTTTTCCAGTTTTTCCTTGCCTTCCACTGTACCTTTCAGCAGTAATTTTGTAGAGCAAACATTTCTCTTTCATATGAAATGTGAACGGGCCGTAAGGATTTAGTTGTTTCTGAGATATTGAAGAAACATTGATTTAATCAAAACATGGAGCTTCTGATGATGACTAAAAAGTTAAGTCTACAAAATTCTTGAACAGTGCCATACGGAGGCGAGACATCTTGGATTGCTTAGTTTTTCG